TTGAATGTTTAATGGTAAATAGCCACAAACTGAAACTCACCAATCAACAGATATTTAGCAATTTGCCAAAATTTTATAAACTTTAAAAATTCATAAAAAATCTAATTTTGATCAGAATTACATATAGGTCAAAATTTCTATGCAACACAAGTACATGTATGTGTATCAGAAAAAAATTATAAAATGGAAATTTCTCTCCTTTTCAATTTTGGCAAAATTTGGCCAAACTTTCACCCGATTTTTTAGCAACTTTTAAAAATTTGTAAAAAATTCAAACTTGATCGGAATCAGTTCAAACTTTCTATGCAACATAAGTATATGTATATGTATTAAGAAAAATTATTAAAATGGAGAATTCTCTTCTCATGATTTTTGTCAAAATACCCTGTACTACAGTACAAGGTCTTTGGCCCAATTTTGAGCAACTTGACAATCCAGCTGCATTAGCACTATGCTGAAATCCTGTGGGAAACCCTGCAGTATCACTTTGCAATTTTTTGAGGGCCATGTACATTTATTTTTGCTGGAATTTGTAAATTACTTGGTGATTCACAGAAATAAAAACTGTGAAATTAAATTTACTGCCTTCTTGCTACAGTATTTATGCAAATTTACATGTAAGTCCTGCAATGAGAAATTGAGAAAATTTCACTATACAAATACAATTCCCTCAAAAACTACATGTACATGTACTTATATACTTTATCTTTCTTCTCTTTCCCCTCTTTGTATATGTAATTATTATCTTTCTCTAATTCTTATTAGGTTATTTGATGGTCTTATTGATTGTGCTTTATATTACAACACTGACCCCTCAACAACCACCACTGGCCTTTCTACACTCTTAATAGACAAGTATCTTTATGAAAGAGCATTTGAAGGGAAAAGAGGAGGCAGTGGTGGTCGAGAGACTGATAGTGTCCTTGATGAAAAAGCATCACTGCTAATGACTGCTTCACAGAATGGCATTGAGATTAGTACAATACTCAACTTGTATAAGAGATGGCAAAGAAATGGACAGAAATGAATGTATATTATTATTGGTCATTATCTATAGAGAGTATACCTGCATGTATGGGTAGAAGAATGAAGACATTCTGGATATTTATCATAATGTGTGTGTGTGTTGATAAATGATAGAGAGAGAGAGAGAAGGATTGCTGCTTGATGTATTATTATCATTATTATTATAATAAGTGTTTTGTAGGATGAAAATTTTGTTTTTCATATATCTTCATTTTGTCTCTCACTCAGTTTCAAGTTTATAATCTCTCGCAGTCTTGGATCAGTGAAATAACCTGTGAAATATTTTTAGTGATTAGGTCATTGCATGCTGTGTGTTGCTTACTTGCTGCAAACGCTTTGATATCATCAGGTTTCTTAAGTAACACTTTCCTGTAATGGAGTAAAAAAATTATTTTATCATTTAAATTTTTAGATCAGCTCAGTGCTTGGGAATGCATGTTTTTTATAAATGCGATCATTAATTACAAGTAAGGTTTTCCTCTTTTCTTACTGAAGGAATGATTCCAAAAGCAATGGTATCTCAGGATGCTTTCTGAAATATTTTTCGTTTTGCAGTCTAACTTTGACCTATTTTAAGATTAAAACTGGTACCAGGATATTCCCTCCATTACCTTCTCTTTGTTGAGGTCGGATTGCTGTGTGCTTGTTAATGCTGCTCTGTCGTTTGAGTCTAACTGAGGGCGAGAGCTCAGGCCAGTCTCTACTTGTAGCTCCATCGTCTTGACAACGGCTAGTCTAGTCCCTCCCATCTATATTTTAGGATATTTTACGTACATCTTCGTATACCTTAAAACTTGCAGAAGAAGGGGCTTGGCTGCATTGACAAAGACAGACAGATAGCACTGTAGCAGAAATTAGACAGCCATGGCTGAGCCTGAGGTAATGGAGCAGTTTGGGTGATTTTTATTTTATCCTTTTTTTTCTTTAGAATACAGAGAAAACTCCTATGCTCAAGACTTACTTCAAGTAAGTCAGCTGGTGTAAACTAAAGCAATGCTTTGCAATCTTGTTTATCCTCCATCTCTGCAAACTGCACAATAGAATGTAATTTATGTAGCCTATGAATGAAGTGGAAAATTATTTTATTTTGGCTAGCTAGACTTTGTTTCATGTGTTTTTATTGTCAATCAATGTTTGTATGACTTAATTCACTACAGTACTTTATCAACAAGCACATGACATGATTGACGCCCTCTTATAAAAACATTTAGCATAACTGGTATAGTTCATTTTAAACCTGTAGTAGACCTTGCAGCCCTTATATTGTTGTATATACATATGCATGTTATAGTTTAGTATTATTGTCTACTTGTGATTGTTGTTGATTATTAGAGCTGGAGCTTCTGATGCTTCCCAGGAGCTTCAACCACGACCCAAGTTACAGCAAAGAATTAAAAATCGTCGTTTCATTACATTGGTGATTTCTATACTTGTGCTGCTGGCTGCCATTGTCATTGTAGCAGTAGTGCTTGCAGTGGTATTGAGTAGGGACTCAAGCTCCAGCAGTAGTACTTCAGAAGAGTCTCTTGTTGATTCAGTGGATAGTGAAGAACTGCTCCAGGCTTTGAGAGTAAGCAATTGTTATAATAATAATAATAATATTATTATAATGATTTTTAATTGTTTAAAGGATCTTCAAAATACAAGCATAAATAACAGGTAAATTATATTTTGCTTGGATGATAGCTTCCTGTATCAAGAGCTTCTATCATTTATCTTTATTTATTTTTCTTTTACCCAGTCGCTCTGTTTTAAATGGTTATGATAAGTCAGCAGGTTAATATTAGTTAAAATTAGTGGTTAATGTACCTTCTTTGTAGAATATGTATTCAATGAGTTGGAAGACAATGGTTATTCACCATACAAGCAATACTTTACTGTAACCGCATTTACATACATAATTGGTAATAATAGTGTTCTTAGGTTCCTGTTTTTGAGAACGTACGTCCTGGGGGAGCTTTGTTTAAAATTGTTGTTGATGGACACGAATTTGTATTTGCAGAGGTAAGCTACTCAAGTTTCACTTACCATGATAGTTAATGGATCATCCACTCATTCATTTCACTATTAGGCTTCACAGTTTAATGTAATGACCTATTCTGGTTCATGTGATGATTGTACGGGAGATCTTGTGTCTGTGATGAAGGAAGAGGACAATAACTATGGATGTGATGGGGATTTAGATAACGTTGAAGACAGTATTGTTTTAATGACTTACAATGATGAGAAAGGCTGCTCACTTTATTTCAAAGTACAATTCTCAATGCCATGGGTTTATGTGTATTTTGTGGTTTACATATTAGGCTGAAAATGCTCTTAATGGAGGTGCTAAGGCTGTAATTTTTGGACGGGATGAAGGTGATAATGAAGGTCCTCCAACCAGTAGAGTGTATGGTAAGACTAGACTAGATTTTTTATATCTTTGTAATTTTTAAGCTATGACTTACATGTACATGTACATGTAGTTGTTAATTTCTCAAAATGCTCATAACTCTGGGATTTTTGTTGGAATCAGTTCTAACTTTCTACATAGCATAAGAGCATCAATGTGTATCAAAATTACAACATAATCCAACAGGGAGGTAGTTTTGGAGACAGATTTTGAAAAATCAGGAATATATACTTATATTTCTAGAACTTGAGCTTTTAATTGGCTTTAATTTTAATACTATTACATATTACTATTACCTTATGTTTATTGGCCACTTATAATTTTTTTGAATAAAAGCATATATTCATATTGATGCTATGTAGAGATTTCAATACAATTCTAGAGTTTAAAAAAATTATCTATGTGTACATGCAACATAATGCCTACTTTTTGTTCCATTTATAGATAAAACTGCTAGTGGTGAAATAAGGACAGTTGATATACCAGCAATTGGTGTCACTGCTGCTGTTGCTAGTCAACTAATGAACTATAATGCTGTAAGTTATAATATTAATAATAAAAATGATAATAATAATAAGCTAATGATAATTATTGTAACTATAATGATTTTTATATTAACCAATAGCCAGATCCGGTTCAAGTTTCCATCTCTACATACACAAGAGTAACTGAGGCTGTCACTTATAATGTATTTGCTAAAACTGAGAGTGGCAATAACGAATCAGTCATTGTTGTACGTTAATATAATAGTGTGTGTGTGTGTGTGTGTGTGTGTGTGTGTGTGTGTGTAATGTAAATCTATGTTGGCATGCTTTATTTTTTTGTGTATAGGTTGGCTCTCATTTAGATTCTGTTCCACCTGGACCTGGAATTAATGACAATGGGTAATATTACACAGTAACTAATGTAGTTATAATAATAATTATTATTATTATTTATTATTATGCAACACAACACACAAACATACACAATAAAATACACTAAGAACAAAACAACAAATAAGAGAAACCAAACATAAAAAGACAATTATTGTTATTATTATTATTATTATTATTATTTGTGTATG